CAGGACCCAAAAGGAATGCACATGTCTTCAGGTTTGAATAGTATTGATGTGTGACTTTGTCAAATCTGTCAAATGTGGCATTATATGATATGTCACTTAAACCAAGTTCATTGATCAAGCAATTGATGCAGTGATGCTTGCATAATGCACATAATGGTTATGTTTTTTAAGTCCTGTTAGCTGGAACAAACCTTACATGTAGGACAGCCAGACTTTAGATGACAGCTGGCTGGGACAGAAGGGGTTTATTCCGATTCTGTTTTCTCAGCATTCTACCAATGATAACATCAGCCACTCAACAGGTTTGTCTTCTCTGTTTGTCCCGGGTTTTTTTGCTATATAAGACCTTACTTTTCCAGTGGAGAAAGAATCGCGTGTTCCTTTGTGGTTCTATTAAATTATTGTGACACTTTGAAAACGCATATTCGATATTTAGTAATACTAGTATTTGGCAAACTGGCCCTAAAAAAGCATTTAAAGTTGATCTTTGTATTTAGGCATGTGATAACACAAAACTCATTGTCAAACACAACACATTCGATGTGTTTCGATTTGGACAAAAACACATCTTGTCTAAAGCTTGAAAACATCATGACGTTTTGCACGTGCGTCCCTTGAATGTGGACGCAGAGAAGGCAATGTGAACTTCTAGTTGATCACACCTCATGAGTATGTCACCCTTTACGTCAGAAAAGAGTCCTCTCCCGTTGTTACAGTTTCCTATGTACTTTAAATTAAAACCCTCAACAATATAATTTAACAAAAGAAATTCTGTACATGAATGTCCAATGATAGTGAAAAAATTAAAGTTAGTGAGAAAGACGCATCAGCAGTATTGCAGCTATTCGCGGCTACACCGTCAGTCATAAAAATAATCACAGGCCGGTGTGTTTCTCCATGAGGCAATATTATACACGGCTAGCATATTCATTAAAACAAAATTCCCTCGGACCAATTCGTAGCATTCGGCTAAAATGAGACTGTCCGACGTTTAACTCGACACCATATTCGCTACTTTAGGCCAAACAAAAGTAATCACATTAGATTTCCATCCGCTCCCGCCTGATTACAAAAAATCCCGCCTTACATTATTCTATTTCCTCCAAGTTCCTGAAATAGAAATATCGCTCATTTGAGTGTTCCTACTTTCTTTAAATGATGGACAATCTCATTAAAATCAGATCTTAGTTCTCGCTACCGCTAAACAAAGATCTGAGGACATCTCATTACGGGTCACGTCAGCACGACCTTTCATCCAACCAATCAGAGCGTCGCTTACCAGATCCTTAAAGTGACTGTCGGAATGTGTTTTCTAATCATGCAACCTCGAAATATTTAACAAGGGGTATTCAGAACGATAGTTATGGGTTTTATGATTATATCCATACAATCTGATTTTAATAAGATTGCATGATGAAATACTCCACACACGTAGACCCCCGAACACGTACATGTATAATTTATGTGAATCGTATCCTTCGACAGCAATTATACACAGATGCCTTAAATAGTTCGATAAGAAAAAAATAAAATGTTAAAATCAAAATGCCTCCCGTCTCCTATGGGTTTTTTTCCAAAATCAATCAAACTCAAATTTAATTGTCTTATTGCGGCCTTAACATCTACATGCTAGATAAGCTTATACTGGAAATGTACCACAATATACAGCCTGAGGGACCGGCATGGCTCTGAAAAGGTGAGTGAGTTTGGCTTAACACCGCGAATTGCGACGCCTCAGACGACTGAGCCACCATATGACTGCATAGGTTTTTGGCAGAAAAACACGAGATTGCGACAAAAGCCAATTGTCGCTATCTCGCGATCTCGCGTTCACTGTCAATTACATATGTCATCTTTGGACAAATTCTTGTGTTTTGGGACAAATTTAGCTCGTTTCCAAAAGTCGAGATCACGAGAATGTCCCTTACAGTATTCCATAGCTTGACCATATAGAGCGCCATATTTTGTTTAAAGGCTGTTGTCGGTGATTCCGTAAATTCTGATCGACAACCCACTCATTTCACTGGACCCAACCCATGCCGCTTCGATCAATATATTTGCTGACACGAAAGAGTTCGCGTTTTATTTCGTCATGGTAGAATGGTGATAAACATAGTGTGTTTTCGATGTAGAGCATTTAATTTATAATGTAAAATTCAATTTAGTGCGGTAAAAACTACGGGTAACCTAGCTCTACATTGAAAACACGGTGTATGTATCTTCTTATTAAGACATAAAACATAAAACAAAGACATTTATGATATAAAAAACATTTGAACATAAATGAGACAGCTTATATGAATAATACATGCATCATATTAATAAGTCATGTGAATGCAAAATATCATTCAAAGACTTAAGACATGTATTTGATAGAAAAGACAGGTGGTTGAGATATAAAGCTCATTTATATGCAATATTTTTTATTTCTAGAAATCATCTTGCGTGTACAGAAGAGAATGTGTAAACATGTCTCAGTTATGTAAACTGCAGGGCAAAAGAAAGTATACACTTGAAAATTGGATTTGACTCAAACAATTACAAACGTTATGAAAAAGTTACAATACTGAAACTATTTACTAAACATGCCCGTTATGTGCTCTTATTTATATAGGGGCGTTTCATATATACTAGAGATGTCTTATATTTACATAGAGATCTTTCGCATGTACAAACCATGTCTCTGAAATATGGAGGAGATCTTTCACATGTACAAAACATGTCTCTGAAATATGGAGGAGATCTTTCACATGTACAAAACATGTCTCAAATATGGAGGAGATCTTTCACATGTACAAAACATGTCTCTGAAATATGGAGATCTTTCGCATGGACAAAACATGTCTCTGAAATATGGAGGAGATCTTTCACATGTACAAAATAAGTCTCTGAAATATGGAGGAGATCTTCCACATGTACAAAACAAGTCTCTGAAATATGGAGGAGATCTTCCACATGTACAAAACATGTCTCTGAAATATGGAGGAGATCTTTCACATGTACAAAACATGTCTCTGAAATATGGAGGAGATCTTTCACATGTACAAAACATGTCTCTGAAATATAGAGGAGATCTTTTACATGTACAAAATATGTCTGAAATATGGAGGAGACCATTCACATGGACAAAACATGTCTCTGAAATATGGAGGAGATCTTCGCCATGTACAAAACATGTCTTTGAAATATGGAGGAGATCGCTCCCATGAACAAAACATGTCTCTGAAATACGGAGGAGATCTTTCACATGTACAAAACATGTCTCTGAAATATAGAGGAGATCTTTTACATGTACAAAACATGTCTCTGAAATATGGAGGAGATCTTTCACATGTACAAAACCTTTCTGAAATATAGAGAAGATCTTTCACATGTACAAAACATGTCTCTGAAATATAGAGGAGATCTTTTACATGTACAAAATATGTCTGAAATATGGAGCAGACCATTCACATGGACAAAACATGTCTCTGAAATATGGAGGAGATCTTTCCCATGTACAAAACATGTCTTTGAAATATGGAGGAGATCGCTCCCATGAACAAAACATGTCTCTGAAACATAGAGGAGATCTTTCACATGTACAAAACATGTCTCTGTAATATAGAGGAGATCTTTCACATGTACAAAACATGTCCCTGAAATATGGAGGATATCTTTCACATGCACAAAACATGTGTCTGAAATATGGAGGAGATCTTTCACATGTACAAAACATGTCTCTGAAATATGGAGGAGATCTTTCACATGTACAAAACATGTCTCTGTAATACTGAGGAGATCTTTCACATGTACAAAACATGTCTCTGAAATATGGAGGATATCTTTCACATGCACAAAACATGTGTCTGAAATATGGAGGAGATCTTTCACATGAACAAAACATGTCTCTGTAATACTGAGGATATCTTTCACATGCACAAAACATGTGTCTGAAATATGGAGGAGATCTTTCACATGAACAAAACATGTCTCTGTAATACTGAAGAGATCTTTCACATGTACAAAACATGTCTCTGAAATATGGAGGATATCTTTCACATGCACAAAACATGTGTCTGAAATATGGAGGAGATCTTTCACATGTACGAAACATGTCTCTGAAATATGGAGGAGATCTTTCACATGTACAAAACATGTCTCTGTAATACTGAGGAGATCTTTCACATGTACAAAACATGTCTCTGAAATATGGAGGAGATCTTTCACATGTACAAAACATGTCTCTGAAATATGGAGATCTTTCGCATGGACAAAACATGTCTCTGAAATATGGAGGAGATCTTTCACATGTACAAAATAAGTCTCTGAAATATGGAGGAGATCTTCCACATGTACAAAACAAGTCTCTGAAATATGGAGGAGATCTTCCACATGTACAAAACATGTCTCTGAAATATGGAGGAGATCTTTCACATGTACAAAACATGTCTCTGAAATATGGAGGAGATCTTTCACATGCACAAAACATGTCTCTGAAATATAGAGGAGATCTTTTACATGTACAAAATATGTCTGAAATATGGAGGAGACCATTCACATGGACAAAACATGTCTCTGAAATATGGAGGAGATCTTCGCCATGTACAAAACATGTCTTTGAAATATGGAGGAGATCGCTCCCATGAACAAAACATGTCTCTGAAATACGGAGGAGATCTTTTACATGTACAAAACATGTCTCTGAAATATAGAGGAGATCTTTCACATGTACAAAACATGTGTCAAATATGGAGGAGATCTTTCACATGTACAAAACATGTCTCTGACATATGGAGGAGATCTTTCACATGTACAAAACATGTCTCTGAAATATGGAGGAGATCTTTCACATGTACAAAACATGTCTCTGAAATATGGAGGAGATCTTTCGCATGCACAAAACATGTCTCTGATGTACATGGGTGAGATCTTTCATCTTTTATATATATTACAATGTATGTCTCATGCACATAGACGGCACGTTTCATACATAAAAAAGCATACTGAATGCAATCGAGATGGTACTTCGAGCGTGGCGGCGAGTCAATGCAACATCGACAAAGAACTGTTTCAGGAAAGGTGGCTGCGTATTGACGGATGGTGTGGCTGAATCCGACAGGGAATCGGATGACATTCCGTTATCAGACTTGCGGGATGTATGGACAGAGTTAAAGAAGGTCACAGACATTCCACCAGAAGTGACACTCCAAGAATTCATAGACGCGGACAGAGGTGACACATGTACACACAAAATATCAGTGTACAACGTAGTTATACATATTGACACATGTACCCAGGATGTCAGTATACAACATAGCTATAAATAGTGGTAGATGTACATATGTATACACAGGATGTCACTATACAATAGAGTTATACATAATGACACATGTACACACAGGATGTCAGTATACAACGGAGCTGTATAAAGTGACACAATTAGACGCAGGGTGACATTATACAACGTAGCTATATCAAGTGACACATGTACACACAGGATGTCAGTATGCAACGTAGCTCTATGTAGTGACACATGTAGACGCAGGGTTGCATTATACAACGTAGCTATATCAAGTGACACATGTACACAGAGGATGTCAGTATGCAACGTAGCTCTATGTAGTGACACATGTAGACGCAGGGTGGCATTATACAACGTAGCTATATCAAGTGACATATGTACACAGAGGATGTCAGTGTAAAACGTAGCTCTATGTAGTGACACGTGCACGTCAAGTATGTCAGTATATGAAATAGGTTTTCCTGGTGACACCTGCACAACCAGGATGTCAGTATAGAATGTAGCTATATATAGTGATGCATGCACACCTAGGATGTTAGAGTATATAATGTAGCTGTTTATAGTGACACATGTACACCCAGGCTGTCATTATGCAATGTAGCTGTATATAGTGACGCATGCACACCCAGGATGTTATTTTACAACGTAGCTATATATAGGGGTACATGTAGACCCAGGATGATAGTCTATAATGCAACGGAGCTTTATACGGTGGTACATGTACACCCAGGATGCCAGTAAACATCGTAGCTATATAAAGTGCTACATGTGCACAGCCCGGTTGTCAACACAGAACATTATGTTTCAGAAAATGTGTAAAATCAGTCAGCGTGTCAATGGACAATGAACAGATTTGTCACTTAATTTGTGAAATGACTAAAATATTTAGACATTGTAGAAATTGCCTAAATGAATCAGATTTAACACATTGAGTGCAACATGTATATTGGTACGTATTCACATTGGGTGTTAGTGTAGATCATAGCAGGATGCGCATGCGCCTGAATATAGCATGTCGCTGAAAAGAATGCTCCGTCACAATCGCATTAATTATGAGATGATGTTGTGCAAAAATAATGTAATGTGATCTTGAAGCAACCCGGAATGGGTATATGTGAGTGAATCATGATCATTATTGAGCGTTTTGCTTAAAACCAAGTGTCCTAAATGTAAACAAATGTGAAGGCGAATTTACACAAGTATTGTCAATGCTGACTGACCCAGCGTCCAGGCAATCAACAAACAATGGGCAGCACGAGCAGGGTCATTGAAGCACTGACCAGCTCTCACAGCAAGGAAGATGGCCTACGATATCGAAAGTGTGGAGGATACACGCATTGACATTTTCAAAGCAATACACAGACGGCTTGGACAACGTGATGGATTTTATTTTGAAAATGAACTGTTTGAAACATACACTGATGATAAAGAAAACGGAACGAAGAGAGGAAGAGTAGACAAGAATAGTCGACGTGATCCCCCAAAATGGACGTCCACCAAAACGTGTTCACCTAGAGCATTCCAGGAAGTCGGTGATTGAGAAATGTGCGTCTGGTGTATATTGCCTATGTGACTGTTTTACAAACACAACCCCCTCCCACATACTGGAAAAAAACCAAGCACTCAGCAATTGCAAGCCCGGCCCCCGCCCGACCCACATGGAGACAGTTCAAGGGACAAACAACGAGGTAAAGATTTTTCTATCCTTATCTATACCACGTCCAATTTTTATTCTTTAAAAATCTGTTGTTCAGAAACTCTAAGCATTGTGGCCGGTTTTACACAGTTGATCGTGTTGTTTCCACGGAGACATCCTAAGGTATGAAAAGCGCAGCAATATGCTATCGAAAAACCACGTGGTGACCAATTTTCCTTTGCACAAGACTGATATTTTTGCAGTCAAGACATATTACTCAACTGATGTCTAATATAATTCAATGTTTAGCGTCATGAAAACATTTGTCCCATGAACCAGCGCGTGTTCCTTCATGATCACTCAAAAAATATTTCTTTGTTTTGAAGAAACACAACCGCGTAAATACAAATATCACCAAACGTAAGTTTTGCTTTTATTAACTATAATATAATAGACACTGTGATTTCACAAAATAATACATGTTGTAAAACAACCGTGTGATAAAACCTGCGCACTTGTCAACACCTACCGTTGGATATTTATGATCAGTCAGATGTGGTGATGGGTAAAAACAATGAGGGTAGGGGTGGGATACTTGTGTTAGGAGGGTCACCTCACCTGTTAGCGATAGCTTGGTGTGTCACTTTTCCAGAATAAGGGTAGGGAGTTCGGATATTACCGCAACACCAGATGCACTTTACAACATGCGCATGCGCCGCAATGTAACATGTCTGCAGTTTCTAAATAAATGTCTCTACAAATATTGAATGTTTACTGATTAAAGAAGCTGTCATATTACGATTTCGCGACAGAAACCCTGTAAATTCATTTACAAGTAATTGCCGCAGTTTGTCAACATTCATTGTTACTGACTAATATATCACATAGATGTATCTTTGACGATATTCATCTTTACTCATGTGCTTCCAAAAGCTTTCCATTCTCAAGTTCGACTACTTCAAACGTGTAAACCTAGTTAAATTGCATTAAACATTATTTTGAAATGAAATGGCATAGTTTTCGTATTTACAGCTGTTACTTCCATGGTGTTTATCGATTAGCATACAACGCTGACAAAATAACATAGCGAAACAGATGGTCATGAACGCCTATTGAAAATCTTTATTAACAAAGTATGTACGTAATTTAAAGTTTTGATGCTGGAGACAAAAACGTATTGCCGTGACCTCGTGAACAGGAAGTAATGAACAATTACTCTGTGAACTCTATGCCATAATCTCTGGTGTTTTCGCGGGTAGTGTCGGATATGGTCGACACATTTCACTCACTACCCCGTACATAACTCGGTGTCCGTTTGTTGCATAACATTGGACTGAGATGAGTTGACTGTCAAGCCAGTATTCCTCTTTTAAACATCAAGATACTACTTTGTATACACCGGTCTAATGCTCATTTAATTGTAAAGTACTCTTTGTTAGCCATTTAGAAGTTGTAGGAACATGGGGACATAAAACGGTTATGGATAGCAACTTTAATGTTTGTAGCGATGTTTCAGGGTTACGCTATCACGCGAATGCTGAGTAAGCCTATTGAGTAACATTGTTTATGTATTTTTACTTAAGCGTAATTTTACTTTGATTATATTAGTTCCGTATGGAACGGCTAAATGGTTTAATGCATTTCATCTTGTATACTTTTTTATTAGATGTTAAGATGATAATTTAAAAACCATGTTTCTTTACTCTACTCTCTTGCCACATGCCGCATATCACACATATCACATGCCACATGACACATATCTCATGACACATGACACATGTCACACATCACACATCACATAAAACATATCAACTGACACACTACGCACGACACATATCACATGATGCACGACACATATCTCATAACACATATAACATGTATGACATATCACATGATGCACGACCGATATCTCATAACACATATCACATGTATGACATATCACATCATGCACGACATATGCCACATTTAACTTGGCGCATTAAACGTATCATGACACATATCACATGACACATGTCACATTCCACATAACCCATAACACATGACACATATATATCACGTATTACCTGTCGTTTATTACATTATACAGATAGCATGACACATGACATATATCACATTGCACTTGTTGAATTCCAAATATCAAATAGCGCATGATATTTGGCAAAATAACAAATCTCACATCATATACCACTTGCCACATACCATCAAATGACACATCACACAACACAACACATATCATATATCACATCGTACATATTAGATGACACATATCACATATCAAATGACACATATCATAAGACACATCACGCAACGCATATCACATATATGTAGATTTTAGATGACACATATCACAGGGTGCATGACATATTTCCCATATCACATGACACGTGACGCACTACACATATCACATGACACATATCACATTTATGACATATCACATGTCCCGTGACATATACCACATAAAACATGTAAAATATAACGCATATCACATGGCGCATGACACATATCAAATGTCATATGCCATATGACGCACGACACCTATCGTATGACATATTACATTTCATACATACTACCCGTCATCTATCGCATGACACACATGACATGACACATAACGCATATCACATGTATCCACGAGGAATGACAAATATCAAATATCACATGACACATATAACATAAGGGGCGATGGAGTGGCCTTGTGGTTAAAGCGTTCGCTCGACACCTTTCAGACCCGGGCTCGATACCCCGCATGGACACAATGTGTGAAATAGAGATTACTACACGAGTGTCTATCAGACACCATTGATCTTACAACGATTTGTTTCAAAACGTATCTAACGAGCGAAAGCGAATTAGATACGCTTTGTAACAACGAGTTGTAAGATCAATGGTATTTGACAGGCACGAGTGCAGTAATCTGTTTCTTACACACCCTAAAATAGCACCTTTTTAGCATCGAACCGATAAATTGTGTCTATTCTTATGATTGCAGTAGCGCATTAATACATAACACCACTGCCATAAGTGACGTCATCCTATGTGCTGCTTACTACTCATAAATAATGTGACCCTACACAAAAAGGTTTCCGTCATATCTTCGGATTATCAAGGCGATGATGAATGTGCAAACTAGACAAAAAACAAGAACACTCTGGGTGCCAAGTTGAAAGTTTACACCTCAAAGAAATTACCAAATATGTACAACAATGTTTACTTCCGTATGACATCACTACCTGTGACCGACAAATACAAAAAGGGTGTTCACTGACAACAGTATGCGGGATTTCCAGAGGAGGATTT